AACGGCAGAGCTCTGTCCCACCATGCCACACGTGATAAGCTCAGCGTTGAGAAAACTCAACGCTGTAGGTGGGACCAGACCCCTGGGGGCGGTCAGCTCAACGATGATATCACAAGGCTGTTGCCCTTATTAAAAAAACAGGCCGCGCGTGGCCACCTCCGGGGGGGATTCATAGCGTGTAGCCAAACGAAAATTGAACAATAGATCACCCACACTTTTGTTCTTTAGCCAGACAACTTTCATTCCTCTTACCACTATTCTTCTCCATTCCTCATCGGATAATCCATATCGGCCCTCATTACTAGTCTCGAACAAAAGAACAGAATACCCACCTTGCTCAATGTTTCCCCATAACACAGGATTCGTGAAAACCTAACAAAACGACAAAACCTCACATTCCATATTGGCCCTCATAACTAGTCTCGAACAAAAGAACAAAATACCCACCTGGCGCAATATTTGCCCATAGGTTACACGAACAGTCAGCCGACGCTCTGCCAGCTCACAAATAATCTCCTCAAACCTCAAACCTTCTTTCGCTTGATGCCCGCTTCTTTGCAGAGCGGCTCTAAACCAATCTTTCTTAACAATGGCAACTTCTTCTTAACCTTTTCGGAGGCCGCCTGCCGCCGATTGAATTTATCCACAGCGCCGGGCCTCCGAAAATTGTCCCGGGCCTCCAAAACTTTCGTAGGCGAGTTTTCTTTTCAGCAAGGCTGGGGCCGTGTACTGACGGTTTAAGGGGTACATTTTTATTTTTAATTCTCGACCCGGTTTCCAGCAGATGATGCTCCCTACCAATATACTGGAGCCAACAGCCACAGGGTTCTAATGGGTGATGCTCCTATCACCCTCAATATTAACCTGGGACAAGTTTTTTCTCCTAAAAAAAACAAAAGAAAACAAAAAAAAAGAAGTCTCAGATAAAGCGAGCTACCCATTTAAATTCATGAAATTCAATATCAAGAAAAAGAAAACCAGTAACATCATATCAACAGCCTCAAGCCATCACCTGCAGTCTGAGCCTTTGAGACATCCGTTTAAATTGGAACGATACAGAGAATGAAGATTTGCATGGCCCCTTCGCAAGGATGATGACACGCATAAATCGAGAAATGGTCCGAAAACATTTTATATAAAAAAAAGGGTTAAGTTGCGTTGTGGCACAGAAGAGTTTTATTTGCCCTTTCGAAACTGAAATTGTGACACTGCCAGACTTGTTTCCAAAAAAACGAAAAAAGGTAGTCTATGGACAGCCTCAAGCCATCGCCTCCAGTCTCAGCCTCAGCTGAGTCAGTTCTGCTCAAGTTCTACTTCCAGTACTACTCGCCAAAAGTCCCCATCTCTCTTTTCACATTCGATTTGTAATGGATCAAGGGCCTTCTGTCAAGTTCTGTGCCAAAATTGGGGTGGAAGCTCGCACAGCCTTGCCCTGCCTTCCACCCCCCTTCCCCTTCCCCTTCCCCCCCTTCCCCTTCCCCTTCCCCTTCCCCTCCTTCCCCCCTTCCCCCCCCCCCCTCTCTCCCCTCCTTCCAAAGTTGATCCAACCGCAAAAACTAACACCGCTGCGCAGCACCTGCAAGGCTGCAAGCAAGTGTGCGACCCCTTGTTCAAAGGTCCAATGCCACATGCTCAAGGTCCCCTCTCCAGTAACTGTTGCTGAAATTGGCACTCTCAGCCACTCTGTATAAGGTCATACGATCGAGCCCGACAGTCGAAAGAATGATATTCAATACGAAGCTGAAGCTTGTTCTACACTTGCTCCTATATATATACATGAGAAGTTGAGAACCATAATCTTTTTTCTGCTTTGCTTGCGGAATCTGATCACACCCATTATCAGATTCTGTCCACTACCCCTCCACTCCACTATATAGCCTGTTGAAGCCTTCCGTAGAGTCAGAGGCATGGGCACAATAGCCACTGCAGCTGTTGTGACCTGTAGAGGACTCGAAGCTCTTTCCTTAGGCTAGGATTCAGTACACACTGCACAGAGTACCGTTCCAAAATAAACGGGCACACTAATACCTCCTAGGCTCCTACCACCGGTTCAATGAACAGTCAGGCTTTCTAACTAAAAAAGCAGAGCTACCAACTGGCCTAGCTCAGTTGGTACACGGTACACCCCCCCGAGCTGAACTGTTGAAATACAGACCAGGTGCTGAGTTCAAACTCCACTGGCGGAAGCGGATAAGTCAAATATTATTACAATTCTAGGGCCGGTCGAGGCCGTCACCTTTTTTTTTTTTGGAAAAAAAACTCACTCCCCAGTTGGGCAGAGCCGCAGATGCATTTTGCCGTTTACTACTATGGCGGTTCATCTGTTTGAGTTTTGCCAGTCTCGTCCTCTTACCTTAGTACCAAAAACTGGCAAAAAGTCATAGAAACGAGAATCCTAAGAAAAAAAAAGAAAAAAAAAAAGAAAAAAAAAAGGAGATCCCTACTCTAATCCAATGTAAAAAGAATATGATGATATCTCAAAGTCCAATCGTAAATACATTAAAGTTCAGTTTACAAGTTGACACTGGACACTGAAGCTCCTTTATTAGGAATATTTCCTCCTCCTTGAAGTCCTAGTACTTTACATTAAAATTAAAAATTGATAATCCATGAACAAGTGAAGTCAGTGTTTCTAGTTGTAGAAGCAGAATGATCATACACATGGCCTCTGAGTCTCCTTGTTTTCTACACAGCTGGTCACAAAAAAAAAAAAAAAACATTGCCGTGGGAAAAAAAAATGGAGCAGAAACGTTTCTAGTAGACTAGTAGACACGTACATTTCCTAAAATCGTTGGCTTAAAAAAAAAATAAAAAAAAATTCGTTGGCTTGTTAAAGGGCACGACTTTAGGAAGTACTCAGTCTGGTGCTTCAACTTAAAGTTTGATTGATTCCTTAAGGCTTCGTGCCTACCCCCTCTGCTGACCTGCAGCAGTTTATAAAAAAAACTGTGGTTAGTACCTGTAGTAGTATGTGGTGTAACAGTAACTGTTGTAAAATTTCGCCTCGGCAAATGAACTGAGCCTCGCTGTCATCCCGCCCGCTGGAGATCTTGTGGCCGACCTGGCTCGGCCACTTATAAAAGGGTGTGCAGTCCGTCTGGACACAACTCAAATGAGTAAATAACTCTGAGTTTTCCCTGGGCCTGGTCAGTGGGAAAAGATGATATCTCAAGGCCATGATCGCCCTTTTAGAAAAGAATGGAAGGAAAGGGAAAAAATAAAGAAACGAAAAGGAAGGAAAGAAACAAAGGGAATGAAGAAAGAAAGCAACGTGCTCAGCAGAGCCACAAGAAAGGACATTTGGCTATCATCAAGCCAAAGCCGAGCTAGTAGAAATTATCAGGGCAAACTTGGTTAAAGCTAGTGGAAAACTGAGGGAAGAGATGAAAGAGAGTCTCTACTCTTGACAGAGAGAAAAAACAACAGGTCGTCTTAGCATTTCGCGAACAATGGCTTGATCCCCACAGCAAGATGGCGGAAGTCCAGGAGACTGGAAAGCTTATATGGAAAAACTGGGCGGCACAGGACGATCAATGCGATTCAATGGTCCTTCCGCCACCCGAACTGCTTCTTCACACCACTGCCAGGTCTGTCAAAGGGGACAATAGCAACAGTCAACCCAACATCTGTGCAATGTTCCCAGACCTTTGTGGAGCCTGCCCTCCCCCTCCCACCCCGCCCTCACCCCCACGAGGCCCCACCTTCCCGGTCATTCCCGTCACCGTCTCCCTCCCCTCCGGCTGGCTCTCCGCTTCCGACGCCTCCTCCACCCACCCCCTCACTGAGCTCACTCCCGTCTGGTCCCCCACCTGCTACCCCCCCCCCCCCCCCCCCGCTGCCCAGTAGCTCCCCCCCCCCCCACCCTCTCCTCCCCCCTATCTCTCCTCTGCAGAGACAGCTAGGGAAGGACCGAGCAGCAGTGAGAGACAAGGACGAATGAATGCAGGAACGTGGAAATGGCAGTGACACCGCACCCGATCTCCAGCGAAAACCACCCCCCACGGTGGCTGAAAAGGCGACAGAGAGACATGTGGTTCAGTTCTCGTAGCTGCATGGTTATACTCCTGATCCATTGATTCTATGTCTATTGTAAGGCATAGTTGACAAGCGCTAACCTCCTCACCGCAGACCTGAGACCTTGAATGTGTTGTGGTGCGGATTAGAGAGGGTGTAGGGTTTAAAGGGTTTAAAAGTCAGACTAGGATACAATGACGATGGGGAGCCGCCGAGCAGGGCTGGGGTAATAGATAGATAAAGGGTGCTCCAAGATGGATTGGGTGTTATCAGCAGCTCCAAGGGACAATGGAGCCCGGGAAGGGCAACAGAAACTAATACAGCCCCAGGGAACAACAATCAGGTTGAATCAGCAAATCCTGTGTGACAAGATCTATCAATGGGACGCTGGACCCGGTTTCCAGCAGGTGCCGCTCCCCACCAAAAGATGTAGCAGCCCGACAGACAAGCCCTCAATTCTGGGGGTTCTCGTACCACCCCTGGGGTAGGGGGATAGCACAAGGGTTTTTCAACCAAAAAAAAAAAAAGAAGAAAAAAAAAAAAAAGAAAGAAAGCAAAGAAAGCAAAGATTCTGAAAGAAGATTCAAGAAAGAAAGAAACAAAACCCTGATCGCTATCGTGAATGCAGCTCTCCATACGTGCTGCATCATGATGCATGCATGCAGATCCTGGCCGCCATTCCCATGAAAATGAAAAAGGCCTCCTCTCCCTCTCGTCTTTCTTCCACCATCTGGCTTGTCAGACCATATCTATCAGCAGCCGTTGCATACGTGTCGGTCGACCCGGAATCGAGAACTCCGACGCTCTCTTCTCTTTCGCATCGCAAACGCAACCCTGCATTCATCGACGTGGAGGCTGTCCTGTCTCAGCCCACCCACACAGTGACTCGTTCGGTTCTGACTGATCTCTTTTTCTAAGTTGTCGCCTCTCCGAGTCTCCGGCATTAGGGCCCGTTGCGCTACTACCGTAGATAATCATTCATGTCTACTCGGGGGCACTCTACTGCCGTAGATTCGATAGCATATTACTGCCGATCGAATCAACTATCGAGATCCCCAAGGCAGGACGAGATGGTCCCGAACCAACGCCCATGCTCGTGCAGCTGGCTGCTGCTGCTGTGCCGGGGGTGCATCCGCAGCCCTTGGCACGAAGTCCCCTCTCAGCTTGCGATAGACGACTTCCATGCAACGTTCTCGATCGTTTGGACGATCCTCTGTCCAATCCTGCGTGCATTCTTTGGCCAGATGAGCCACGGCCATCATCTCGAACTCCGCGGATGGATCCCTTCGCAGTGTCAGCCGGGGGTCTACCATTTCGTACAGCAGCTGAAACGCAAATGCCTCGTTGTCAATAAACCCCCTACAAAACTGAATAAGAGTAAGGGGTCCCCTCTTGTGGCGAATAGCCTGCTCAGGCATCTGAAAGGGGCCAAAGGGCAATTCGGGCTCCGCAGCGGGGTCGACCATCGGCTTCCTTCCGCAGACTATTTGAAACAACACCACCCCGAAGGCATAGATATCGCTCTGCACTGTCAAATCCGCTGCTCTCAGGCACTCCGGAGGGAGATAACCGTCCTGGGCAAGCAACAGCTCGGGGTTTTGACTTGGGGGATCCAAAAGGCGCGCACGCAACTGGTCTCCGCTCCCCTCCACGAGGATACTCCGGTCCCTGACATACCGGTGCGCAAGTGGTGGGTTGGAGTGGTGCAAACGCATCAACTGCTGAGCTATCTGCTGCACTACCCGCAACCTGGACGCCCAATCCAACGTCTTGGACTGAGGCAAATGTCGTTCGTCGGGATTGATTCGCTTACGAAAGTCCCCGCCAGGAGGTCGTTGAGGAGATCGTCGAGGAGATGGTGGAGGAGCGATTGGCAAAGGGGGAAGAGGGCAGGGAAAACAAGGACAGAGAATGCGATGGGGCGGATGACGCGGTGGTGCTGGCTGGAAACAGGAACAAGGACCACTTGGCCTCCGACGACAAAATAGGCAAAGTAACAAGAGCAAAGCGACGACCACTGCCGAGATAACTACAATGACAATGACGACGACTGGAGGGCTAGGATCAGAAGAGATGGAAGGGACGGGGGACGGAGACGACGAGGAAGAAACGGTCGCAAACGGAGGAGGAAAGCTGGCTACGCCGTTAACGGAAGGCAAACTGTCGTCCACCGTTTGGCTTGCTCCAGAGGACACAACTGCAGGAGAAGAAGAAGAGGGTGGGAGAGAGGAGTCTGGGGAGGAGGAGGAGGGAGAAGAGGGAGGGGCGGGCGTGCTGTTCACAGTCTGGCTTGCGTTAGGAGAAACAACGGGAGAAGCAGAAGAGGACGACGTGAGAGAGGGTGAGGGAGAAGTCAGATGGGAGGCCTTAGACGGGTGAGCAGCGGGGGTGACGTCGGCCTTAGGCGCCTGAGCTGATGCGCTCGATTTAGCGGGAGGTGTACCCGCAAGGAAGCGACGGAAGGTAGGGGGGTGGCTTGGGTCGTGCACCTTGCCTCTGGCGAGCGCGCTTCGATTGACCTCGAACTCAAGTATCTGGCCATTGCCAGTGCTCAGGTACAGATGTGTGTCCATTCGGCTAAGTACCAAACGAAGTGCTTCCTCCAAGACACCACTTGTGTGATGATTGCTGCTTGCTGTCTCTGTGGGGTTAACAACGACAGCAGACGAGGAGGGGCTGTCGACGATCGCCAGCGTTTTGTTCAGCACGACCCTTCCGTTGGGAGCATGGAAGGATATCAGTGTGAGGATTATCTTCTTATTGCCAAGCAGGTGCCCTGCAACGAATAGATTGCAGTCATCAGAGGTGATTGCTGTAGAGAAGGGAAGGTAGGGAGCGTGCCACGTGGCGGCTAAGGAAGTGAGCGCGAGTGTGTCAGCGTCGCCTGTGTGGGTATTGATGCGCCTCACGGCTGCGTTTTGCGTGTCGGCGATGTAGAGGAAAGAGCCGTCAGATGAGATCGAACCGGGGTTTATCCGCGGTTGATTGAAGCGCAAGGCGGGCGAGTCGGAGCCGATCCAGGAGGAAGAAGCATGGACCCCCCCCCCCCTGTGGGGACCACCTGTGAGCAGGGAGCTCTCCTCCTCCTCTGAGAGCTCAACAGAGTCCACAGACTGAGGCTCTTCGAGGAGAGAGAGCTTCAAAATGCGAGACGAAGAGACAGCAGCGAAGACAAACGGTTCGATCGGATGCATTACCAATCCGAAGGAGGGAGAGGTGGTGATATCCGTGACTGTGATGAACTCAGATCTCCTCCCGTCCGTACCGTCGATTTGCCAAACTCCATCGCTGCCGTTGATGATCGCCAGCAGAATGGACACCCCATCTACTTCGCCGAGGATCTCCAGAGCAGTACAGGAACACCCTTCTCCTGTCAATCTTGTCAGATCTGACACCTGATAAGACCTCCCTGCCGACTTCGAAGACGAGGAGGAGGAGGAGGAGGAGGAGGAGGAGGGATGTACTAGAAGAGCTTTTCGAACTACGCTTGTATTTGAACCTGTCTTCTGCGAGAAGTACAAAGTTCTGTCATCGAGAGAGAGAACGAGAGAGGGTATAGTGCACCCAAGACAGGGAGATTTCTCAAGCACATCACCCACTAGATTGACCGTCGAACTCTCTAGAATTGAGACATGAATTCTAGAAAGCGAAAGTCTCCGCTCTTCGAGGGCAAATCTGGCAGCCGGTTTTTGTGTCGGGGAAAGCCAAGAATCCATCGTCTCCTCGTTCTCCATACTAGCCGCTCCCTCCTTCGGCGTCCGACGCACCGATTGGCCACAAGACGATCCACCATGGACAAAGAACACAAAGCTTACGGCTAGTACCGCTAGTGAGAGAAACAGATATGCTAGCCCTTTGAAGCCCCAGCGGGAGATAGATTTCGGACTTGATTTCGGACTCGAAGAGGAGGAGAAAGCCGGGAGGTCTGCCATGTTTTCTAGCCGTTTGGCCGCTGAGGAATCGTGAGGATGGCTCAGAGATAGCCGAGGCGGCTATGGCAGGATCCAAGAAGGAGCCGACAGGGGAGCTGAACCCAAAGGGCCTGGAGGGAGACCTAACGAAGCAGCTGTGAAAAGACAAACGCCTGCAAGGCTGCAACGCTAGCGTTCGTGTTTATATACACTTCATGCACTACGAGCGGCTTATTGAAGCTATTGAAGTTCGAAAGCACCCCTACTTTATGTAGCTAGCTATTCCTAATTTAGCAATTTCCTAAGCACTTAACGTGAAAGTTGGTGCAACTAAGTTATTAAAAGCTCGACAGCCCCTGACAGCAGCGATGCTAGTGTAATTTACAATTTTACAATGTTTTATTTTGGCCCTTTGGGTCTAGAGAAACATCACGCAGCTATTTCTTTAATCAATCTGATCAAGCAGTAAATTAGTTAAAATTACTTAGTCCCTTACATCGAGGACGTTTACGTACATCTTGTCCATATTTGGAAAAACGGTGTTTTACATCAGGGCCTGATGAATTCCTAGAGAAAGAGAAGTTCTAGGAATTCATAGAAAGAACGGCTCCGGATTTGGAAAAGGGAAAAAAAAAAAAAAAAAAAAAAGAAAGAACGGTGTTTTACATCAGGGGCAAGGATCTCTCTCGCCGGAGGACAAAAAACTCGTTGCCGTCGCGGAGAAGACGAGTGGCAGCGACTCGCCGGCCGGGGACTCTGGACATGGCTATATGGACATAGAGTAAGACTCAGTAAGTTATGAGAAACCAGATCTAATTTATGGAAAAAAAAAAGAGACTGAGGACTAAGGAAAGACGGCGGAAGGCGAGCAGGAAGTAATGGAGACTGAGAGATCCTAGGAAGAATTGAAAGAGGGAGAAGTGCGAACAGCGCAGTGAGACATGTAACAAGAACTAAATCGACAAAAACGAAGCTAGAAACATGCAAGCGTGAGAGTGAGTCTGAGCGTGGGTGAGTGATTGAGACGTGTGTGTGTGTGTGTGAGAGAGAGAGAGACAGACAGACAGACAGACAGAGACAGACAGACCAGAGAGAGAGAGAGAGAGAGAGAGAGAGAGAGAGAGAGAGAGAGAGAGAGAGNAGAGAGAGAGAGAGAGAGAGAGAGAGAGAGAGAGAGAGAGAGAGAAGTGAGAAAGAAGTGAGAAGGAAGACAGACAGAGATAGAGTGCGGGAGATGAAGCAAAGGAGCCTGACCACCTTCTTGCTGTCGAGGCAGAGAAAACCGGAACAGGTAAGATAAGCAGTTACTCCGGAGAGAACAGTAAATGTTGCACCGTCTTCGGGAATCGTGAGGGGAGCAACCACTGAGTAGACCGGCTTGCCCAGTGTACTGCCACATCGGGAATCATAGAGCGGCTATTACAGCCGGTGTACTGCCAGAGGCCCAGAGACCATCCACATCCTCCACGGCTCCAAATAAATAGGGAAAGGAAGTCTTCAACCTCGAGAACGGGTCTGGCTCCGCCGATCTCGTTCTTCTGCCAAGCACCGGCGCCTTTCTTTCAAGATGACCTGACGATGGAGATGGACTGGTAAATTGGTAATCACGAGCGCAATGACAGTAGGCTGAGTAGGGGAACACAACGACGGCAAAACAGCAGTGGCGAGTCTGGCGAGTCTGGCGACTGTGGCGCTGACCGTTATACGGCGGAGAGCAGGGGCAAACTAAACACTAGGAGTGTCGGAGTTGCTCTTTAAAAAAGGAAAAGGAGCAGCACCGCATATTACAGCATCCATCTACTTCCACAGGATGTGTGCATCCCTTTTTTTTTTTGGTTGGGAGGAGGAGAGGGGGGGGAGGGGGGAGGAAAGGAAATATAAACGGCTTGGAGATTAAGCAACATACATGGCATAAGTGCAAGCACTCAGATGCAAAGGAGACAAGACAAGACCAAGACAGGACAAGAGAAGTAGAGAAGAAAGAAATCCTCACTTTACCTGGATTTGAAGTTTTTTTTTTTTTGTTTTTTTTTTGTTTTTTTTTGTTTGAAGTTTGAACTTTGGGCACAGTACTGAATGTTGTTGATTGAAGGGGAAACTACGCCGGAGTCACAACAATGAGTTATAATTGCGTTATGGGCCAAGATACAGTTTCGAATTGCAGATTGGGCAATGAATGCAACCCAGCTTTCTGGCCAGGTGGGGTTGCCTAGAGTGCAATTGCAAACTGTATCTTGCCCCATAGTGCAATAATTTGAAACTCGTTCTTGTGACTCTACAGAAGTTAGCCCTTGATTTGAAACTCGTCCTGAGAAGCCTTGCCGTTCCCCCCACCAAAAGCTCAACACACCCGGATCATGAATGTATTCATGCTATCTTTCTGGTCTGATACTTTCAGGCAGCCTTCCTTTTCTTTCCCAGTCTTTTTTATACCCTTTGAAGCCCAGTTCGTTTCCGAAAACCCCTAAGGGCCCTAACCCTCTTTTTTAACTGTTTTTTAACCCCCTTGAAACTCAGGTTAATCATCCCCATTTGGAACACGGGCTTCTCAGCCCACGTTCAGAAGCTCTTGCTGACGTAAGAGCTCAAAAGCCTCGCCCCACTAATAGCACTATACAACACTCTATATGTATCTGGACCTCAAAGTAGTCCCGATGCATTCAAAAGGTTGGACTCCCTCGAATGCACAACTGGTCAAGAACGGCATCCAAATCCATGTTGAATGTTGAGTAGTGGAGCCCCTCTCCCAGATTTTGTCATCCTCTCTTGTTTTTGTTTTTTTTTGTTTTTGTTTTTCTTTGTTTTTGTTTTTGTTTTTTATGTCCTCCCCCCCCCCCTTCCCCTCCCCTTCGTCCCTCTCCCCGAGACTCTGCGACAAGGAGTTATATGAGCACTACACTGTCCGAGGAGCCATGCTTAGGTTGCATGCCGGCACTGCTAGTGGTGTCTGATCATATCAGCAACCCTAGCAGTTGCTCGGGCTGTTTCTTTGAAAAAAAAAAAAAAAAAAAAAAAAAAAAAAAAAAGGTTACATACTTGGTGGGGAGCTGC